TGGCTCTTCCCTGCTTCGTCACAGATTGTGACATGAAGGACTCTGTGACGGTTAGTTCATTTGAAATGGAGCGAAGCTGCGAAGTGCGAACTGAAGCCGGATTAACTGAGGGCCGTCCTGCAAGCGAAGAAGGCTAAGAGGTCCTAGCTATGTTACGACCTCTGCGGGCCCCACCCGCGTTGGAGCGACTGAGGTCGTCTCCTTCGCGGAGCCCGCAGGAAATCGATGTTGTTTTCCCGCCGTTGAACATGTTTCAGGACACATCGGTTTCCAGCGAATGCAGGCTGCTCTGTCCGCCCCACAGGCTTGCGGTCAGGTAGTTTTCACGTTCGCCCATCGAGAATCGTTTTCGGTCCAGCCCTACCGGAGATCCGCTTCAGGGGGTCGAGAACGAATCCCGATTAATACCCAAAGCCAGGCTCGAAAGCCTGGTTCCTTTGGTAAAATATTTCGATGCATGGAAAGATCTCACAAATATTTCCCCATGGGTCCTGCGCACCATTCTGAATGGGTACAGGCTGCAGTTCGGTTCCCGCCCACCCAGATTCAACGGGGTTGTCTGGACTGTAGTCGACCCAGTGCAGGGTTGGGTATCGGAACAGGATGTAAACTCCCTTCTGGAAAAAAGAGGCCATAGAACGTATTCCTCCACAAGACAGGTCAGTCCGGGTTCTACAGCCGATAATAGATCTCAGGCATTTGAACCGTTCTCTGAGGAGATTCAGATTCAAAATGCTCACTTTTCCAACAATCGTGAACCAAATTCAGTCCGAGGACTGGTTTGTAACGATAGATCTGAAGGACATTTCCTTTCATATATCCATCCTTCCATCTCACAGGAAGTTCCTGAGGTTCGGTTTCGGGGGCGAAGCGTACCAATATCGGGTTCTTCCGTTCGGGCTAGCTCTCTCACCCCGCACATTTACCAAATGCATGGATGCAGCTCTAGCACCTCTTAGACTTGAGGCTATCAGGGTGCTCAATTATATAGACGACTGGCATTCTGGCCCAGTCGCAAGAGCAGGCGGTTCAGCATCGAGATGTTGTCCTCGCCCATATCCAGAAGTTGGGGTTGAGACTCAACACAAAGAAAAGTGTGTTGACACCAGCCCAGAGAACGACATTCCTGGGAGTGGTGTGGGATTCGGTCACGGCTGTCTCTCGCGCGAGTCGAGTCCATCCTGGCCACAGTGGCTGGGATAAAGCTGGGCCAAGCCATCACTGTCAAACATTTCCAGAAAGTGTTGGGGCTCAGGCCTATGGCAGGACCATCATTCTTCCTGGCACATAAATTGCTTGGAGATGTTGGCAGTATCCCGTGCTCTGAGGAGCTTCTTGCCGGACCTCAGAGGTCACCATGTCCTCGTGAGGTCGGACAATATGGTCTATATCAGGGGTGCCCAATCCTGCTCCTGCCGATCAACTGTCCTGCACAGTTCATCTCCAACCCTAATCAAACACACCTGCCTTTAAATTTCAAGTGATCCTGACGACCTTAATTGGGTGCTTCTGGTGTGTTTTATTAGGGTTGGAGATGAACTGTGCAGGACAATCGATCGGCAGGAGCAGGATTGGGCACCCCTGGTCTATATAAACCATCAGTGGGGCCTGAGGTCTCGCCGTCCATGCAGTTTGGCGCATCAGATCTAGGGATGTCCCGATCCGATACTCAGGATCGGTATCGGCTCCGATCCAGCTATTTTTGCGGGATCGGGTATCGATCAGACGAAGCAGATCCAAATCCGATATTGTGCGTATACTATTATGTTATTGTTAAGCTCCACAGAAGGCACAAAAACATTCTAAAGTACCATAACGTTTTCGTGCACTCTATTATAATTGTTCTGAAGCCATTATGTGAGAAAGAAATTAATATTTAAGTCATTAAATTCAAGATCACATAAACTTTTCCCTCTCGCGGCTGTCAATCATTCTCCATTCAGCACTCAAACAGCGCTTCGCGTTCGGTTACAGTCAATGATGAAACTATCTTCAAGATGATTCAATGTTAATACTATTATACTTTATCTGTAGATAAAGGTCTATGTTTACGCATAAAACTTAACAACATTATCTTGCTGGACTTTATTGCTGTAACTTAATCGTGTTACTTTCTACCAGGTGTCGGACGCTGTCGATTAGATCACAACACTAGAGTCCGAGCACTATTGTTCTTCACGCGCACAGTAACTGAAATTTAAAACTGTTTAAAGAAAAGGCTCAATAAACTATTGTATAGATAGATACTGTTTAATACACTGTCCTTCCTTCCATCAATATGTATTTCCTTTGTGCTTTGAACTTTTCAAAGAGGTCTCGACGCGCAGCATGCATAGGGTGCATACTCGGCTGCGTGCTGTAACTCCACGTGGTTTCAAGCTCATCATTCTGCGCTCGGAATGCGCATAAGCGCTTTGTGCCGCACTGTGTTGGAGTCATTCATATCATAATGCAGTGACGCAATTAAAGCTTCTTAACATTAATAATTATTAATGTTGCTGCCTCATTAAATAGCTGTGCTATACACTTAAAACATGTCTCAATTTTTAGTAGCCTTGGCTAGCCTATATCTAAAGTAATTCTTTTTCATTTTTGTTATATTGTTTTTCATGAATGTATTTTACAACAATACAAAGAGCAATATGTATTATTCACTAATCTAGTTTATAATAGCATTTTTCGTCATACATTATGATCATATATTTTGGGGATTTGTTGTTTATCTTTATAATGAAGCTGTCTGTAGATTGTGTTTAACACACACAAGAGTGATAATCAGTTTAACACACAGTACAGTTAGAGAAATTCTACTTGCTTTAAAAAAAACTGTACTGGTATTTACAATGTAGAATTGTTGTAGCACTATAGAAATGCTGTTTAAATTGTTTTAACTTTAAACCTGTTGGTAGCTAGCTAGCTTTAAGTACTTAAGTACCTGCATTTTCTTATATATATATATATATATATATATATATATATATATATATATATATTGTAGTGTTTCAATAAAGGGTGGCAATCTTTCTTAATCAACTGTTGTTGTGAACTATATACTGGAGGTATATTTTAAGGGGCTAATTGAGAAAATTGCTATATTTTTTATTAGTTTAAAAATAAAATAAAAATATCGGATAAATATCGGTATCGGCAAAAGCCAAATCTGCGGCATCGGTATCGGTATCGGAAGTGAAAAAGTGGTATCGGGACATCCCTAATCAGATCCTCCTGTGGTCCCAGGAGAAATTGTTGTCTCTAAGAGTGCCATATATCCCGGGAAGTCAAAATCAGGGAGCAGACATCCTGTCGAGACAGGGGCTGAGGCCCGGGGAGTGGAGACTTCACCCTGAGGTGGTGCAGTCAATATGTCAGAGGTTTGGCCCAGTGGAAGTGGACCTTTTCACGTCTCGAGAGACGACCCACTGTACTCTGTGGTTTTCCCTCACTCCTCCAGACTTGGCCGAGGCTGCATCTGTATGCATTTCACCCGATCGCTCTGCTCCCGTGAGTTCTAGAGAGGGTCCGTCACGACAGGATCAGTCTACTGTTGGTAGCCCTGTTGTGGCCGGCCCGAGTATGGTTCTCAGACATTATATTGCTCCTAGACTGCCCCCTGTGGGAGATTCCCCTCAGAAGGGGCCTGCTGACACAGGCAGGGGGCTCAATATTTCACCCCCGGCCAGAGGTATGGAAACTGTGGGTCTGGCCCCTGAGGGGGCACAGTACCTAGAGGCCGGCCTATCAGCTGGAGTAGTGGAGACCATACTCAGTTCTAGAGCTCCCTCCACGAGGAAACTGTACAGATTGAAGTGGAACGTTTTCACAATTTGGTGTAGTGAGCGTGAGGTGGACCCAGTTAACTGCCCAGTGGCTTCAGTGCTGGAGTTCCTCCAAGATCGCTTCTCCACTGGTCTTACCCCGTCCACACTCAAGGTGTACGTGGCTGCCATTATGGCTTTCCACGTTCCTCTGAGTGATGGGCCTCTGGGGAGACACCAATTGATTGTACGTTTCCTCTGTGGGGCCTGGATCTAATGTGGCACGGCCAATGGTTCTGCAAGCGTTTCATCCTCCACCTCACGTGATAGCAGATGAGGAGAGGCTTCATTTGCTCTGCCCTGTCAGAACATTAAGTACATTCAGAGGTTTACAAGTTTACATTCAGAGGTCCTCTTGATGGCGGAAGGAGGACCAGTTGCTGGTGTGTTTCGGGTCTCCCAAGAAGGGGCTCCCCGCTTCTAAACAGACCATCAGCAACTGGATTGTCCATGCTATTTCTGCAGCCTACCAGGTGCACGGTATGCCTTCACTGTGGCTGTGAGGGTTCATTCCACCAGAGGCATGGCGTCCTCTATCAGGCAACCAGGCATGGCAATAACAACATCCACAAAGTTTCAATATAATGCAACAAAGCTACGCACAAGCTTCCACTTTGAACTCTTTCACACGTAACTTTAAGATGTCCGAACTGACCCCGCAGCATGAGTTTTTCAAGGCGACTTACAACTTGTCATTTTAATGTTTACATGGTGACACATCATTGCTTGTCACGGGACACAGCACAACCACAACCGCTGAATGAATCTGCTTGTAATTTGTCCTTTTTTTGTCAAATATGTGTAAGTGGAAGCGTTTTGTTGTTTAAATGCCTCCACAACGAGTTGAGCTGTATGCGCGATGGGCAGTTCAGAGAATCGGATCTGTTGGATTTACAACACGTCAGTTTCTCCTCTTCTCACGAAATACATGAAAGTAAGAGGCCGGTGAACTGGGAGAAGAATAGGGTAAAATGTGAAGCTACCTACACAATGTGTATCTGAAATGATGAAATGTGTCGTCTTATTATAATGAAAAGGATTATTATTGCGCTTTCATAGATATCAGCAAAATCAAAATCATTGTTTTGCTAGTAGCCTATTTATGTGTATTTAAATGTCTGAAACTTAAAATAAACATTATGTGGTTGAAAACACTCAGTAGTTGTGATATATGACAGCACTGGCTCAGTGCCATCCAACACACGAAAGCACGTTTTTAAATCATCAAACTGGCCGCGGGACAGGCGGAAGTACTGCTGACAGCGGCCGTCATCCAGGCGCAGCTCATGGAGCGAGCAAATGGTGAAACTAGCCAAACGGATTACCTCTAAAGGGTCCGGTGGACACAAATACGGCGACGATGATCCCCACGCCGCTGTTCTAGCTCTCCAGAGCAAATACAGTGTGGTGAATCTCTCGATGAATGCTCGATCAACATAAACAAAGATGGTGAATCTGGGATGCTAGCATTGCTATGATTTCATTTTGAATATCTTTGCCTAAATAGTGAACGTGTGTTTCTTTTGAACTCACTCTCCTAATGTGTTCAGCCATAACGCTGTCAAAAAGACCTATCATCTCCACTAGTTTCAGGAAAGTGCAATTGTTATGCTCAAATAATCTATCTGTGCTACCACGGAATGGCATGTTTTGCATAGCCATTACTCTGATGAGACTAATCAACCGCTGCAACACACTTTGCCAGTGTATTGTCTCGGCAGTTTCCGCTGATTTTGTTCATCTATGGTGTTTTGCGAGACCAATCTTATGTCCAACTCTTTCCATTTATGAAAACTTTCAATATGTTCAGTTGATTTTTCATGGTTGCTAAGGATGCTTGACACATTCTTCCAGTCTTTAACACCATCTCTTCCAAGAGCTGATTTTCTAAAAAGTTTACAGCAGAAACAAAACGTAACATCCATACTCACTGAATAAACTAGTCAGGGCCTTTACAGCTTTTCTCCATTTGTCAATGTCCATCTGTAATGACACTCAGAAAACTTTATGTGTGCACTGTCTCTGGGAAAATCAATTCCTTTCACTTGATATGGTCCTCTCTCAATTAAAATGTCCTTGGGTTACTGTTGTTGGCCAATTACTGGGATCATTAAAATTATCCGGCATTGCGGGGCGGCGGCAGCTCAGTAAATCATATAAATAACCTATTTTGTGAATTGTTGATTCCCGGTTGGCTCACATTTTGCCACCCTTACAAAAGTGCCGCTCTAGGCAATTGCCTAGTTCACCTATATGGACGCGCCGGCCCTGGCAGTGAGCTGGACAGTGATGTAATGTTCCTGGCAGCAAAGTTTACTCCACAAAGAAAAGTGGTCCAGGATATGTGTGAAAATGAGGATGTTCATGATGCAATTTCCAAAACTGAAACATGCAGGTAAAGTACACTTTATTATGTTGAATGTTTTTAATGACTATTTAAATTGAAACCAAAAGCTTTATGTACTTCAATTGCAGGAAGACCTTACAAACACTTCTGGCGACTTTACGAAGAAACAGGGAGACGTTTGAACAGGCAACCCATGGGCTTGTGTCACGATTTGTAGATCCTCCTAGGTCTCCTCCTTGTCATGTGCTTTTGTCGTGTTTTGAGTGAGTGTGTGGGCGTGTCAACTCCTTACCATGATTCAGCAATCACTTCTCCCTACCAGCTGAATCTCATTCCATCTCCCTTTAAATACTCACCACTTTCTCATCTCCTTTGTCAGATCGTTGTTTGTTGGTGTCTGGTGTTTGATCCCTCTACGTTCCAGTTTACTCCTTCGTTGTTCCTGTGGATGTTCTGGATTTGTCACGTTTGATCATCACTTCCTGCACCTGTTTCATATGACCATCAGAGTCCCTGCGCCGGTAGCCTGTCCTCCCTGGACTGTTACATTTACTATCTGATAAATTGAGTTAACTTGCACTTGCTTCCGAACTTTATTCGTTACAGCTTGGGCCTGGTTTAATGGTGGGCACATTTGAGTTCATTGACTCGTGCCTTAAAAAATTAAAACGCTTAAATCCTCTACGAAAGATGTGAACTAGTTAAGGTACAGCTTTTTAATAATAATACCTTTCTGTGGTAATAATATGATGCTGTGTTTCATAGATACCTATAATCCACTTTATTTTATTTTTTCAATTGTTTTGTAATTCAATTTTGTTCCTTAATGCAAAGTAAAGTATTCAATATTACAGCAAAAGATAATCTGTATAAAACATAAATGTGCTAGAGAATTTCAAACCTACAAGTGTATTTTTATGATATCAGTTTTGTTTTTATTTTCATTTTAAGTTTAGTAAATTTTACTACTTATGTAAAAAGCATTATTTTGTTTTTAGATCGTAAGGTTTACTACAGTATGTTAGAGTGTTTAAGTGATTTGACACCTTTTATGGATAGACTGAAAGGTTGCATTCACTGTTTTCATAGCCTTCAATATGAGCATTGTTTGTAGGACAATATTGACCATGATATGAAAACTTTTTTTGTTTAATATAAATATAGATTTTAAAAAATTCAAATAGAAAAAAAAGTTCAATACTGATATTATACCATTGCCATTTAGCCCCAAAATTCTGATTTCTTTGGCAATTGGCCCACCCCTAACTTATGACATGCTTTAAATGCAGAATTTTCCATTTTTGGCGAAGCAGTAGGCTAATGATAAATTAACAATTATCCATTCTCCATTAATAATTCAATTTGTTTGAGCCTGGAGCAGAAATGCTCCCTTCCGAAGACGGTTTTACGCCCGCGGCCAGATACGGTTCTGTACGCTCGTAATAGATACTCGCACCTGATTTGTATGTGTGCTATTATGGTACTAGGGAAATGCCATTTGGAAATTACCCATAATGTGTAACCTTAACTGTTTTATGCCTTAATTTCAGAAAGTTATTTAGGAGAGAGTGATGCACTGCTAGTGAAGCAGTTGGATGTTGGCCTGAAGTGCATGGCTTAAACTGGAATATAAGATTGAGGTTAAAGGAGAAGTGCTTACATTCCCTTTATCAAGAAAATTAATAATAAGATCCATGTGAGATGTATTCTGTGCCACAAAGAAATAAATTATGCCAACAAGGGCAGCCATGCTTTGCTGGCACACTGCAAAACTGAGATGCACAGGAAGAAAGTCATCGACATCACAACAACGCACAGTGTAGCCAGCCTTCTAGACAGTGAGACCAGAGCATCTACATCAGCAACAAACCAGTGTCCAGAGAACATTAGACAGCAATGACAGACAAAGCTTCCAACACCCACTGTGAATCGCATAGCAAATGCAGAGGTAGGCCTAGTAGTTAAAGGGACACTTCACCCATTTGCATTAAGCTTTGTATCTTTAGAAACCCAGTCATATTTTTGTAGGGCTGACTTCTAATAGTCGAGGATTCGACGATTCGATTAGGAGAGGTCTGATTCGACTATGAACGTTATAGTCGAATAGTACACGGCCAGTTCAACCTCGTATAAATCAGCTTATGTGTGTCTCCCACTCACGAGCGCTCACTCTTAACAGACACACGAACAGACACACTGTCCCCGGCGCTACTCGCGCGTCACAGAATGTTCATTGCGCTCCCTGTTTACAGTAACCGGGTCGTCTCAGCCAAAAACAGCCAGCCGTTGCTGTCAGCGAGACGCCGCACAAGAATACTCATATGAGTCAGGCTGCGAATGTAAGTTACGTGCCCGCCCCAGCGCGCTCACACTAATAAACGCCTCACCTCCGGCTTCGCGCACTCGCTATATTCCCAGCAATGTTCTAAAATAGAAAAATGTTCTAAAATAGGTCATTCATTGAAGGTGCGCATTATAATCCGGTCCGCCTTAAAGTGCGAAAAATAGGCTACGGAATGTATGCGTTTTATATTTAGCCTGAAATAGACAGGCATTCATGCGTGACAAAAAATCTTTAAGTTTTAGGAGGCAAAATATATTTTTTGTAATTCTGTGAATTACACTGCTCAAATCAGATGAGGAAGGGTTGGCTCTCCACAAAACATAAAATATTATTTTTCGTGTTCACAGAGGAAAAAACAATGCAGACATGACAGTTCTCCGAAGGACACGAGCGCTCTGAAGCAGAACTTAAAGACTGCTTTAAAACTTTCACAGACCTCAAAAAAAGCACAAAGCCTTTCTTTAAGGTGAATTTCGTTTTTTATAATTTTTTTCTTGATTTTAATTAATGTTTCATCAACCAATTGTCTGGATATAATAAATAAGATGGAAAAGCAGACAATTACTGATAATCAAGGCACGGAGGCACCGAACTGGAGCTCGTCTCATAAATATAGCTACCCCAACTCAGCGTACAAGTATAGTCTACTCCACAGACCTGATGCATATATCTATATTGAAATGTCTACTTGTAAATAGAACGATTCAAAACGGAAGAAAACGTAATGCTCGTAAGGCGTAGATCGTTAACTTCATATTTATTAATAAACAATTAAAATGTCTCCTTGCTATATTTGTTCTTTGTGACAGCTTTTTATTTTCGGCAGCACCGCTGCTACCCTTAGGCAAAGCGTTAAGTTACAAGTTACAAGCTCACCACCGCGTCAAAAACATGACTGCGTGATAAAAACATGAAAAATACTACCTAAACATAGCCTAACTGTTTAAAAACACAGAACGAATAGCCTAATGCGCATACATCCATCTCTTTTGTTTGAAATGGAAAAAATATAGCTGCTAGACCTATCTAAAAAAAAAAAAAAGGTTCGACTATCAGTCGACTACGGCAAAATCTAACGAATCAAATTCGACTATGAAAATCCTTAGTCGAAAACAGCCCTATATTTTTGAATGGTCATGGTTTATTCCCTTATTTTCCTCTGAGATGGGGGAATAAGGATTTAAGTGTTTTACTTCCTGCTTATTATGACGTAAAAATCGCCATTTTGCGTCATAATAAGCTGGAAGTCACATTCATTGAAATGTGTAGAGACTACAAACATTAGCTCATTATAATTCCAGGGTGTGTCACCCTACAGGCCTATTACAGATCAGTGGGTGGGACTTCACTTGCAAATACTGAATCAATATCAGCCATCTTGTTTGGAAGCTAAGCTAACAACCGCTGTGGAGATAGTAAGTTATGACAATGATGGAAGAAACCAAACATGATATGGAAGAAGAGGATTTTGAAAGTCTGCTGCTCGAATCCGATGTTCTTGGCTATCTTAATGAGCCGCAATATAGAGAAGAGTAGCTGAGGCTGATGGAGGAACAGGAGGCGGCTGCCTGTCGCGGTTGAGGAGCCCAGACTGGGTCGCGCTGAAGCGGACTGCTGTGCACGTGCTCTCGGTCGAGGAGCCCGGACTGGCTCGAGCTGGGCGGACTGCTGGTGCATGTGCTTTCGCTGCGTGCTACGGACACAGATAGAGTACGTCTACTGCAGAGACTATCAACGATGGTAATTTCTCCTGGACAACATCTCTGAATCAGACGAGCGGATCATGATTGGCACAATGATATCATCTTAGATGTCTCATTTGATCTCGGATGTTTTAAGCAACGTACGAAGAACGAGCCCCTGGTCTCAATCGCCTTTTTTTTTTAGAATTGAGTGTTTCACGATTCCGAACCATCGCTCAACATGGCAATTTGTGTCCCTTGTTTTACTTGGCGTGGAGCTGTCATCTTCTTTCCTTTTCAAATCCCCTAACAGCAGACCACTCCAAAGTGGAAAAATGATAAGATAGTTGTCAAAAAGGACATCAACAATGCCTGGGCAGAAGAATGCATTTTCTTCATCATTGGTATTTTTGGAATCCTCTTTTTCACGCTTTTCCCGTACCTCCTTTAAGATCTTCTTGGATTCGTATGTGAAGGAAGATCTGCCAACAATTGTGTGGGCATTTGTTCGGTCCACATCATTTTCTTCTTGATTTAAGGGGCTGTTTTGTAAATTGTCTGTCTCTTCCATGTTGGGAATTTTGCCTTCTTTTGTTAAGTCCTGAATGGCCTCCAGACTGATCCTGACAGTACTGGTGTATTTCCCAATTAGATTTTGAGGGCTGTGGTCAATAAGGTAGTGTTTTGCAACCTGGCAAATGCAAATGTTTCAAAATCCTTCAAACCTTTGTCTGCCATTTTTCTCCTAAATGAATGAGAGACAGCTTTCAGAACATGTGCAGAACATAAGTGTAGCACTGTAAATGGTCTGAAATCCTTCCATGTCTTCAGTTTAGAATAAATGTCAAAAGCCCTGTCCAAGTAGCTGACTCTCCTGGTTGAATGCCAGAAGGACACTTTGGAGTAGTGCGCAGCTATAGTCTGTTTTTATCTGATGAACTCTTAGTTGTGTGTACTGTGACAGTTTTCGGAGGAACTGCATCATCCAGAATGTTATTGGTGGTACAGAGTGTTCATTTGTCAGCATTTCACAGATCAGGAGGGGAGTTGCATTTTGACCACATCCAGGCAGAGTGAGAGAATAGTAAAGGACTCTTTTGGTCTGAACAGGAACTTTTGAAGCAACATTTCCTGTAGCATCTAGGTATAAGGCCAGTGGAGTCTTTTTTCTTAGGTGTTGCACTACTATGCTTACTCCTGTTTCAGTGTACATGTGCACACCGAAGGGGTCCACTTGAAAGTGCTGGATGTACCCAGGCATTTTATGAAATTTGGTGTCACATTCCTTCATTATATTTTGAGTGAGGTACATCTCAATGAGCATGTCGTCATGAATTCTTTTACTCTTTCTAAGCTCCGAACCTATTACTTTTAGAACCTTTTTGTTCAAACTTCTTGTGATGTTTCATGAAATTAGTTCAGGAACAGGTGTTTTGTGTAGTAGAATTGGCTAACTCCTTTGTGAAGGGATCTTGCAATTCTCCCTCTTCTTGTGCTTGATGCTGGTCTGAATTTTCTTTCACTTTTTTTGTGAGCAATTTTTCCTCTTTGTAGCACAGATTTCTTAACTGGGTTGTCTCCCACTTGCTCCTTTTTTATTTTGCACTGCATGACGGAAATGTACAAACTGCAGTCATTCTTAAATATGGACAATTAATTTTATGGCTGTAAAGAGTTTTAACATGCTGGCTCTTGAAGGCAAATATGGTACAACATGGATTTTTCTTTCTGAAACTGTTATACAATATATGGGTCCATGGTTGTCTCAGTTTCGTTGAACCGTGTAGTGGAACAATTGTTCGCCATTTCTGTTTGTTCACTGTAATGATGAACCTTTTGGAAACAAATGTCATCTTTCTTTATTGTTTTTTGTTCCCTG